GGTTGATCCGTGGTTACGAAGAATTCCCTTTTGACACTGCCGTTCCATTGCATTCCTTTAAGAATTTGAGCGCGTTAGAGATTATTGATATAGACTATCGCTCGTTCTTCGGCTGGGATAGGCTGTCCGAGCAGTTGCGGACGCTGACAGTCAAGAGGGCTAATATCGAGGACCCAGCAGAATTGCTCACGGGCATTGTGCTGGATGACATTGACAAACGTCGGCGGCGTTCGTCAAAACATCACCACTCACCCATGATGGGGTGGAGTGGGAATGCAAACCCCCAGCCAGTCAACAAGCCCGAACTGTCTGGTTCGCTCTCTGCTCCCGGGTCGCCGGTTGCTGATGCACCCTTTGGATCCAGTGCTAGCCCCCAAGCAGCTTCGATGATTAGAATGGCATCTGAGGGTTCTAAAGCTCGACCACGCACCGGAAGCATTTCTCCCACACGTCCCACCAGCTCGAAACACTCGACTTACCGTCATGGCCGTGGAACCGCCTCCCGGATAAGACGCACTGGCTCTGGCAGTTCCAACTCTAGCGAAACCTCGGGTCACCGCAGCGCAAGCTCTTCAAACCTACTCTCCGGTGTCTTGCCAGCACACAAGTGGCGGTTCTTGCGACATCTTGGCCTCCCTGACAACTCCTTGACCTCCATCACTGCCGCCGGCCTTGCTCCAGTGGCCAACACCCTACAATCGCTCGATCTATCGTCGAATCTTTTCACCGAAGTACCCGACAGTCTCGCGTCCCTGGTTGCCTTGAGAGCTTTGAACCTCTCTCATTGCATGATCGAATCTCTTCACTCCTTGTCACGCAACCCTCTTCCCGCCATAACCGCACTCAACCTCCGCGGGAACCGTCTCCGTTCTCTCGCGGGAATTGAGAGGCTGCTTTCGTTGGAACGGCTGGACCTCCGAGACAACAACCTTACGGATCCTACTGAGATTGCTAGGCTCACGAATCTCCCTGAGATACGGGAGATCTGGGTTTCTGGCAACCCCTTTGTGAAAACACATCCAAACTACCGTGTTGTGATTTTCAACTTGTTCCGACGCACCCCAGGTTACTCAGAGGACATCATCATAGATGGGTCGGGACCAGGATACACCGAGCGGAAGCAACTGGTGGAGCGAGCTGCGGAACCCGAGGCTGCACCTGTCATACGATCCGCTGCGGCAGATCTTTCTACCGTTGTCAGCAAGCCCCTGCACACAGTTCCTCAGGAGTTTTCGCTGCCTTACGAGCAAATTGGACCAGTCGGACGAGTGGGCCAAAATGGAATCGATGTTGGGTCTACTCGTCGAAAGAAGGGTACACGGCGGAAGATTGCCGATCGCCCAAAAGATAAGCCTTCCGCTGATGTTAATCGTGAATCAGGTGCGGTGGTGCCTTCTATTCCTTCTGTTCAGCCTGTGCAATTACCTGTTGATCCGTTTGTCACGGCAACCCCCGACCGTCAATGGAAATCTGATGGTGGACCTCAGGCCAGACCCGCAAGTCCCAAAATCCCGGAAAGGACTGAGATTAAACGCGATTCATCCGCTCTTCAGACCCAAGACCAACTTGGCCTCCAGCATGCACTCCAGGGTAAAGACTGGAATGTAGACGGAGATTTCTACAAACGGCAACTAGAGGCTCTTAGGCAAGAACTTGGGAATAGCTGGCTCAGGACGCTCGAGGAACACAGGTGGAAGGATGTGCAGACGGACATCAATGTGTCTTGCACTGCAGCTGATTATTCTGATCCGACGAGGATCCCAGTGGACCCCCTGACCAGGGTGAATCCCCAGGTCATCCTAAGCGGTGGCCATGCCCTAAGTTGACTGCGTGGAAAGACTCCAGTCGACAAGGGCAAATGAAATAAAGAAGAAAAAAAGATCAAATGGAAAAAAAAGGTTAAAAAAAAAACGAAGAGAAAAATAGGAAAGAAAAGACAAGAGGACAAGGAGAGAGATTGAAGGAACAAGGGAGCAAAGAACATCTTGACCTCATCCATGGTCGTTCCTAAGTCTGGAATTTCGGTTTATACCTTTCACACCCCCAGAGAAAAGTTCGGTTTGGCTTCGAAAAACGCAGTTCTTCCACGATACCTTCCGGTTTTTGACTATACTCAACCTTATACACGCAAACCTTTTAACGACATGCTTACGGCAGCTGGTTGTCAAACTGCATCATTCACGGCGTTAGGTGATCTTTCAGAGCTTACGGCCCGGATGCGTGGAACACATGAATGATTCTTCATTCCTCCTTCGTCTTTCTCCTCCCTCTCCCACTCCTCTCTTGCTTCGCCGCAGTTATACACCACCTACGGCCCGCATCCGACCGTTCCCGGCTGGTCCATCTGATAGGATTACTTTTTTGTTATTATTTGTTCTAGACGGCTTGTATTGTATTTTGGGGCAGGAGTGCTGGTGTCCAGGAGTTCAACTGGTGTCTTGATTTATATACGACGTGATGTTTCGCTTTTTCGGTACTGCTCGTTGTGACTTGAGTGTTTCCCGTTTCTACTGCTTGCACATGACGTTCCGCGCATGCGATGATCCTTCAGGATGTATACTGAGTTGCTTCTCTTCTCGTTTTCTTTTCTTCTTTTTCTTTTTTTTGGCGTGCTGCCGTTTTCTACGGATTATTTTCTGGGACCATCATGGCCCATGATGAGATTCGGACCTAATGCATGAGACACGAAGATGTTGTGACGAGTCAGATCAGATGTTCTCTCTTCCCCGCGGTAGCGCCAATAGTTGAAATGCAATGCGCCATGGGCGCTTTCGGATCAGGTGCATCACACGTAGAGTTGAAGAGGGTGGTGGGGGAGAACAGAAGGAACATCCCCACTGGAAGTAGAATCCAATGTAGATATGCCATAGATAAGTGCTTGTCAGGTACCTCCCCGGGGATTTTCAATAGAATGAAGGAGCCAAGGGACATTGAGGCGTTAAAGCAAAGCATGCAAGCGCTCGTGCGACCATAAGGAGGGGGGAGGTCATGGGCATACGTAAGTAGGTCCGAGGTATAAATGTACATGATGTATATGTACATCAGGTAGGTAGATCACCGGCAGGCATGTCGAGAATCCACACACGGTTTCAGCACCGTGGGGATCTTTGTTTGAGGGGGTAGAAGAAGCTGGACTGCTGCAAAGAGGGGGGAAATGCGGCATCGATTGGCGGCGCTCCCTTGCAGCAGGGGGTAGTGCCGCAGAGTGAGTGAGGGTCGAGGTCGGGGAAGAGATGATCTGGGGTTGAAGGCCAGTAATTAGTTAGTGAGTCTGTAGAGTTTTTGACAAAAGTACGAAGGAGGATGAAGCGGAAATGCAGTCCCCTGAAGAAGGAGGGGTATGGGTAAAGAGAGTTGAGAGAAGAGAGTCGAGACGTTGACAGACCGTTGGAGGGAGAGAGTTTAGTATCATCAGTTAGGAATAGTATTACTAGTAGAAGACACACCCTTGAAGCGCTTTACTGTTTAATGAATGGCGCGCCGCCCGCCGCCCGGGCGATGAACCAATCAGAAGGAATAAACACGAGGCCGGGGCCCTTTCCGTTTTGCCATCCGGGAGTCTCAGGCAGGCAGGCAGTCAATCAAGAGTTCCTCCTCCCTTTGCTTTGCTTTGCTTTACTTTGCTTTGCTTGACGCTGCGTTGCGTTACTTTGGCTTTGGCTTTGCTTTGATCTCTCTCTTCCCTCTCTCTCACTCTCTCTCTCTCTCACTCTCTCTCTCTCTCACTCACTCTCTCGCCCAGTCCAGGTTCTCTGCTGCTCCTCTCGCGCGCGTCTCAAGTGGTGAGCTTGTCTTCCTTCGTTACTGCCATCCTCTCTGCCCCTTCCCACCTCTTCCCACTCCCCCCCCCAAAAACTTGCTATCATCTATCTATCTATCTTGCTTCTTCACATTCTGTTTCGCTCGTGCTTCTCCTGTTTCTCGTGGAATTTGGCGAAACCCTTTTCAGCCTCGAACGGTTTTCCCAGAAAGCCTTGCAAAAAGAGAAAGAAGAGATCGATCGATCCCTTGATTGCCGGCAACCAAACACAATCAATCCCAACTACTTGCGCGCGCCCTTTCTCTCTTGTCACTGACACCCTCACTCACCACCCTCTTACAAACTTCTCTCTCTCCCTCCCTCTTTCTCTCCCTCTTTCCATCTTCCCCCCTTCTACGTGACTTTCTTGATCGGTTCTTTTACACACCCCTCACGCCACACACACCAGGTACAGAAGGAGTAAAGAAGGACTCTTCCTCCCACCCCATCTTCGAACAAGAGCTCGCCTCCAATCTCGGCTTCGCTTGTTGGCCCTTGTTTTTCTCCCCAACCCACCCCCGTTTCTCTTCCGCCGCCGGCTGCTATTTTTTGCAACCGCCCCGTCCAGAAGCAGTCTTTCGCCCAGCGATATCTTCTTACGCTCAAAACCTTGCTAGCCGCATCTCGCCGTTATCAACGCGCTTCGCCTTCATCCACCCTCCCGTGTGAAAAATTTACCAAGGCCGCTTGCTTCTTTTCTCCATCAATATCTGGCATCGCTGTCGGATCTTCTCAGTGTCCCCAAGGCCATTTGGCCTGTTGCCGCTTTTAACTTCCCTTGTCTCTTTTAGATTCTGTTTGGTAAGCCGACTTCTTACTACTTTTGACAACTTCTCACCCCTCCTCTCCCCGTCGCCCCGTTTCACCCGCCATCCAAGTTAAACCCAGCTTGAAGAAAAAAAAAAAATTTCCCGGGCGCATTGATCACGCGTTTCTTTCCTCGCCTCCTGCTGCACCTCATTCCATAGTCTGCCCTGCTCTCTCTGGACCATCTCTAACCTTCATATTTTCGCTGCCACAGCCTATAGACGCCGCGTCATCAATCGTATCGCCTACCGAGCCCTCCGCAAAGCTACCCTTTTCGCGCCCTTCTCTTCTTCCGTTGTCCAACACTTGTGTTAATTGATCCTTTTTTTCTCTTTCTCTTTCTTTTCTTTTTTTCGTTTTCTTTTGCGTCGTCTCTCATTGGAGTCGCTCAAACATGGCCGATCAAGACGTGGATTTGGACTCGATCATTGATAGATTGTTGGAGGTGAGGGGCAGCCGGCCTGGCAAGCAGGTTCAGCTTCTGGAGTCGGAGATCCGTTATCTTTGCACCAAGGCTCGGGAAATCTTCATCTCCCAGCCCATACTGCTGGAATTGGAGGCACCCATCAAGGTAAAAACGCCATCCCTCATTTGTCCCGGTCGAGATCGGGTCAGCGCGTCTATCTTTCGCGGAAACTAACCCGGTGGCGCTTATTATTAGATCTGCGGTGATATCCACGGCCAGTACTACGATCTTCTGCGTCTTTTCGAATACGGTGGCTTCCCGCCCGAGGCCAACTACCTGTTCCTGGGTGACTACGTTGACCGTGGCAAGCAGTCGCTTGAGACCATCTGCCTTCTTTTGGCTTACAAGATCAAATACCCCGAGAATTTCTTCGTTCTCCGTGGTAACCACGAGTGTGCGTCCATCAACCGTATCTATGGTTTCTACGATGAGTGCAAGCGGCGGTACAACATTAAGCTGTGGAAGACTTTCACGGATTGCTTCAACTGCCTCCCCATTGCGGCTATCATCGATGAGAAGATCTTCACCATGCACGGAGGTCTGAGTCCCGACTTGAACTCGATGGAACAGATCCGTCGTGTTATGCGCCCCACTGATGTAAGTGCTCTTTCCTATCGATATTGTGGGGTCTTATCCTCGCCTTTCTTGAAAAGACGAAGACCAGGCCCTTTTTCATTTGTTGACTTAAGGGTCCTGGGAGCGATGAAACAATCCTTTCCGGGCTCCCTGAAGCCTTGAGCTTCGCCTGCTAACGACGATAGATTCCCGACTGCGGTCTTCTTTGCGACTTGCTCTGGTCCGATCCCGATAAGGACATCACTGGCTGGAGCGAGAACGATCGGGGTGTATCCTTCACATTCGGTCCGGACGTCGTGTCGCGGTTCCTTCAGAAGCATGATATGGACCTGATATGTCGCGCACACCAAGTCGTCGAGGATGGCTATGAGTTTTTCTCCAAGAGACAGCTGGTTACGCTATTCAGTGCTCCCAACTACTGTGGCGAGTTCGACAACGCTGGTGCGATGATGAGCGTCGACGAGAGCCTACTTTGTTCCTTCCAGGTAGGCCACCACAAACCAATCTGTTCTCGAATGAGGGGAGCGTTCTTGAAACTAACGGGTATTTTCCTCGCATTAGATCTTGAAGCCAGCAGAAAAGAAACAAAAGTACGTTTACGGGGGCATGAGCTCAGGCAGGCCCATCACTCCTCCGCGAAAGCAAAAGAAGAAGTAAGGAATCATACGAGCTTTTCCATGTGCAGCAGGTTCGGGCGGAGATAAGAACGTCATAAGTCCCACACAATGTCACACTACAACGAGAGACCCAAATCCCCAACGACATTCGATGGCCACACATTAGACGATCGGCAGCAGCAGTACACCCCAGCCCTCCGAGAACCTCACGACACGCAGAACGTCTCAATTTTCCCTCCGCGCATACCAGACTCCAGCGACTCCCCCAGTCATTGATTTCCCGCTGAATGTGTTTCATTTCTATATGGAAGGTAGTTTCTGCTCCAAGTAGGGGTTGGTGTTTTCTCATTCTTGTTGATCTTCATTCTTCAACTTCCTTTTTCCTTTACCTTTTTTTATTTCCTTCCCATTGTCCAACTTGTGTTGTCCGAATTCATTTGACAGGAAGGGGAAGCGACGGGCTGCATCTGGTGTTTTCCAAGTGCGTTTTTTATTCAAAATCTTCCTGTGAGTGTAATGCCAACCAAATAAGCAACGACACGCCCGTGTCTTTCGAGCGTCCAAAACCAAGATTCTGCTCTCCCCCGTCCTCTTCCTTCCTTTTCCCTTCGCCCATCTAGTCACATTGTCTATACCCCCACTCTACCCAGCAGACACCGATCCGTGGAAATGCATTCAGCTAGCTTGTCAATGGAATTCAATGCATTCGACACACAAACGACAATCCACCAACCCAACGTCCAAACTACTACCTACTTATCGCAGAAGTGGAACGAACTCATTATGCGGGAAAGCGGGGAGAAGGATACGAATCAAACCAAACCAAACCAAACCGGAATAGTATGGTATGGTATGGAAGGATGTATGGAATGCACAGAACGGGAAAGGGGTTTTGTTGTTGTTGTTGTTATTGTGGTGCCTGAATGACGTCGTTTTTCTACTCTCTCTCTCTCTCTCTCTTGGACCCCTAGGGGTATTGTATCCGTCTCGTGTGACATTGTGTGCATATATGTGTGGGTGTGTATGTGTGTGTATTATTTGTATTATCTATCCTATCATATCTTACCTTGTCTTCTTTCTATTTTGGTTTGGTTCTCTGGTAGCAAGTCGACTCATTGAAGTTGGTATTATTGCCTGACTTAGTATTAATAGAGGATGAACATTATTAGAATAATGAGGTAAGTGTGCATAGTGACTACTACTACTACTACAATACATAGTGTTCGTAGTCATTTACCATCTTGAGGCGTCGCAAATCTATACAGGAAATTGGTGTGGTAGATGATGGAGATGTGGTTATACTACACTAGAGTATTATATAGTACGGTATCTGAAGTAACCATTTGGGGAATTCAGATGTATTGATGGAAAAATTGATTATATGGGTAAAGTTATGATTATTCTCATTTCTGCGTATTCGGTCGTACTATCTAGAGAACAGAAGCAAGCAAAACAGATGAATAGTTGGAGAGGGGGGAGGGGTGGTGACTGAACTAGATTGTTACAGTACAAGGGGAGGTTTAAAGAGATTGGAGGGAAACGGGATTTGTCTTTGTTTTATTTTGCTTTGTTGATTGATTGTCTGGTCTTGGTAGGCGAAAGGCAGAGAGAATAAGAGGAAAGGTGGCTACAACGAGATGAAAGGGACAAACGTGATGGAAGTAAGTACCAAGAAACTGGGTCGAGACATCAAAAGGATCAGATCAAACTCCGACGAAACGCACACGACAATTCATAGTATGAATCAATGTAGGAAGAAATGAACATCAGATGGTTTGAACAATCGAGATACATTGTAGATGGATGGGTCAAGAGAACTATTATGCCTAGTAGCGAGTACTTTCTTCCAGGCAGTTGTGATGACCTGTCTGATTGGACGGAGTAGAGTTCATTTCATTGAACTGCATTGGATTGGATTGGATTGGGATATATGGAGTTCCTACACCCCCTACAGAGGGTTCGGAGGGAGACTGAGGAGATTTCGTTTAGGACAGAGTCATCGAGAATAGGTGGATAGGGGAACAAAAAAGAGTAGTCGGGATATATCGCAACAATAAAGTCAACAGCTGGCTGGCTGGCTAGCTTAGACGTACTGAGACAGCCATCTGATACCTTCACCGTATCCTACATAGCATAGAACGATTAGCTCCTGATTGACACCGACTGGGACATAGAAATTTCCACTCACCCTGTCTCATTACAACACTGCACATGAACACCTCAATGGGCCGGATTCCCTCAAGAGGAACCTTGCCCTTACCCGTGGTCTGGTACAATCCAAGCTGGTGGCGAAGCTCGTCCTCGCTAACAGCATCGGGGTGGTCGATCTTGTTTCCGAGGATCAGGAAGGGAACCTTGGCCAGCTCCTCCATGGCAAGGAGGGCGTCGAGCTCAGCCTTGGACTCGGGGAAACGCTCGTGGTCCTTGGCGTCAACGAGGAAGACGATACCGCTAACTTCGGGGAAGTAGTCCTTCCACAGACGACGAGCTGTTTAACGAGAGTTGCTACATTTAGTTTTCTGGCTTTGCTCTATAACACGGGGCTACGAGGTATGTTACTCACCCTGCTGGTGACCACCCAGGTCAAAGGTCGTGAAGCGGTTGTTGCCGATGGCGAGCTCTTCGGATGCTGTATTGAAAGGAGTGCGGTTAGCCATTGTCCGCGATATCCAGTTTCCTTCGGTCGCTGTCGCATAGTCTCTCGCTAGCATGGTCATGTAGGCAATACGTACTCGGGTGAGCAGTGGGCTGGAGGATGGCAACCCGGTCGTTCTATTATCGAACACAGATGTTAGCTTATCGTTCAGCTCTCTCGTGACCCTATCCCTGCCGTGGTGGCAATCCCTTCTGATCGAAGTCCATCCCATGCGTTGTCATATCCACCGTCGTCGCCACCAAAGCGAGGCTCGCTCGCGAAAGCAATGGAGCTCGCATACCTTCAGCATGTGCAGGAGGGTCGTCTTTCCGGCATTATCGAGACCGAGGAACAGGAGCTTGGCGTGCTTGTTGAGCAGGCCAAGGGAGGCCAGAATATCGTAGACTATTCGAGAATAATATATCAGCAACTTGGCACACAAGAGACCCAGAGAGCAAGAGGAAAGACGATGGAGAATCAATGGATCCAACATGGCGTGGGAGGGCAGGTCTGCAGACCACCTGATGATCGGGGCCAAGTCGGCGGATGGCAAAACAGGGGACTACCTACACCAGTTAATGAGCCACATGGTGGAAATCGACTCAGAACCTCAGACTATGGATTTGTGAATCGGATAGCAGCACGAGGCAGGTGCAAAATGGGCCAAATGGCGGTGGTGAACGGCTAGGCTGGAGATAAGAGCAGGAGAAGGAGCCAGGTTGCGGTGGCCGACAGTTGACGTTGGACTTTCGCTTGCCCGGACGCCTAGCCGAGCGCTTAAGCCAACTCAGCCGCCGGGAGATCATCCGCCCCGATCGAGTCGTTGGAACAACTACTATGAATTACATTTCTATTTTTACACTATCGTCAAGTTACGCAGGAAAGTTCATCATACGTTGGCATATTCAATGACACAGTCATTCGCTCAGTATCTACAAATTCGATAACGAAAGCAAACGGGGTATACGCGTAGCAAACCGCCTCCATGCAACCCGGGCTAACAGAGCAATAATGCCGACCGAAAGTCAAATCCGCCGCTCAGCAGCGCGGAGGTGAACAATGAAGAAAAGGAAGAAAAGAAAGAAGGAATAAACAAGCTATGTATAGTGGGAAGGGCGAAGAGAAAGGGGGACAGGCGAAAAGAAAGAATCAAAGGTAGCCACCCCTGTAAAATGCAGACGGGACCCTCCGTGCGAATAGGAATCCGATGGACACGTTGTGAGGACAAGAATAGTAACATCGAAGACAAGGGTGTAGCGAACAACGCTCAATTGGGATTTGTACACCTCGTCGATCCACTGGTCATGAAAGTGGACGACTGAAAGGGTGATAAGAAAAATTCGAACTATGTACAAGAATTTATCGAATCCCGTGCGGAATTTGAGGTCTAAACAGATAGGACGAGCTGGGCGTTCTCTCCAACGCCGTAAGCTCTGCACCTCTCTGCAACTTCGAGGCCAAGCTCCTTCATCCGTTCAGCACCTTTTCCGGGGATCGGTCGCCGTACCATCTGCTCCTTGGCAGCTTTGCGGCAATGTTGACGCCAGAACTTCTCCTTGCGTTTCTGGCGCTTTTTCTCGAGACCCTCAACAATATCAATGGGGCCTCTGGTGTGCACCTCACGGGTGCGTGACGACTCGCGCTCCGGCGATTCGTAAACGGGGACAATGCCAGACCAGCGGTGAGACTTGTCCAGGCTAGTAAAGAAAGGGTTGGGTGTCCGAGGCAAGGACTTGGTACGAGACATCGCGGGCCGTTGCACCAGTTCACTGATGTTCAGTCCCCGCGAGGGGACAGTAGGAGCCTCGTCTGCAGATGCCAGGTCATCCTTCGAAGACCGCAGCTTCATCGGCGGCGGCGGAGAGCGAAGTCGCTTTGGCGAGGAACGGCCCTGACGGCGAGGCGGAGGTGAAATCATGCGTCTGGGAGACGTACGAGGAGAAGGCTTCTGCGCAGAGTCTCTACCAGTCCGTCCCCGAGGTCCTTCATCCATGACAGATTCCTCGACATCATCCTCCTCATCCTCCTCATCCTCGGGATCCGAAGTGGGAAAGCTGGGATCGATATCTTGAGGGATGACAATCTGCTTGGAAAGACGGCGTTGCTCGATGCAAGACTTGTAGGCAGCCTCCAGAGGCCGGTCTTCGTCGAAAGTTCCGCAGACGAAGTCCGTACTGTCAGGAAGGTTAGGTGTGCCAGGACGCAGCTTTGGGATCTTCATGGGGGATCGGCTAGTTGTCTTAGCAGCTAAGACAGGTGACCATCTTTGCTGCTGCTGCACATCGTTGGCAGAATCGAAAGACGTGTTCGAGTCGCGACGACTGAAGGGGTGGCGAGCAGTGTCGATGTTTTGAGGGCTAGTGGCAGCAGTAGTGCTGGTCGGAGCCCAGAAATCGTATTCCGAA